GCATGGACTGCTTCTTGAGGACGAGAGGGTCAACGGCCTGCTCGACATCATCGTCAAAGTATGAGTTCTCTTGCGGCGCTGGAGCGGCCTGCTGCTGTTGATAATTGGGGAGAGCAGGCATGGCGCGGTTAATCGTGGCAAGCATCTCGTCGCGCTGGCGCACATACTGCTCGTAGAAGACGATGAACCATGGTGGCATTTCAGATTTGGCCTCGAGCTCGTCGCTCTCGCTCTTGGGGAACGGGAAGTTGTCGACGGGGTAAGTTGACTCCTGAGTCCATCCTCGCTTCTCGTCCCGCATAGCCAGCATCGTCTTTTGCGAATCGTAGCTGTCGACGCGTCGGATGGGGTTGTTGAACTGGGCCTGGATGCCGGTGGTCGAGTGTTGTGCGCCGTTGAATGCTTCGCCTGTTGCACCTCCGTGGCTGTGACCGCCAGTCTTCGCATGGAGCCACATCTCAATCACGAACAGAATGAAAAGAGAGCCCATCATGATGACACCTGGTAGAGCTGGGTACTTCTCGGTGAAAAGATCAGGTAGGCATGGGTCGTTGAGCGACGCGAAGGCGGTCGGCAGCAGATGGACGAAAGCAGTGGCAATGAGCACACCAGTACCAAAGTGCTTGCAGAAGAAGAAGACCTTTGGTGGGATCTTCATCCACTTGATCTTCTTTGCCACTACTGGGAAACCAGCACCGAAGATGGAAGCAATGAACACAATGACTTGGAACGTGTTAGTGATGTACCATCAGATTGCCTCGTATGTACTTACAAACTGCAGCAACGTGCAGAGGAAAGTCGTAAGCAGCAGCATCCGCCTCACTGCCACACTGCGGTTTCTCCATGTCGGCCATTGCGAATTACAAAATGGGTAAATGTGTGGTTCAAGGAATGTACGGAGTAATCCCAGACTTGCCAGCAGTCCCGTCGCCGGCGACGATGAACAAGAAAAAAAGAGATGAAGAAGAGAAAAGAGGAAAGAAAGCAACTCAACACACTCTCTCAAAGAGTAACAGAAACTCAAAATGCAACGAACTGATGTTGTGAGGTATGGGGCAATAGGCTCGGCATTGCAGACTATGTATTGCTTTGAGGGCCGGTAGGATAAGAGACACTAACCGCATCATGCTGATCAGCACAGTCTCCAGAACACCTGAAGACGAAAGTGGGACCTCCATACAGTGGCCTGTGCCTCAGATGCCGTCTCTAGTGATAGGTGCTTCACGCAGCAAACGCGGAGGTCCAGACGGTGCCAGGGCCAGCCAGCCTTGTGCCAAAGACAAAAGAAGCATTGCTATGAGGCAGCAAGGCTGGAATTGGAATTGCTGTTCGCCGAGACGACGAAGCTCATTGGAGACGGCTGTCATGCGCGTAGATGCTTGGCAGGCACGCTCGATCTGCGAAGGGGTGGGGATGTGATGCGGCTCAAGTCTCGTTTCCGTCGAGTGGGACAGCGAGTGGGTACTGAGTGGGCAGCGGGTGGGACAGCTGACGAAGTGTGGAGGTGCCAATCATTAGGGGTGAGGCTTGACTGCAACCATCTGTTGCAGCTGAGGTATCGAAGTGGCTCAGCACACAAATGAGGTCGGCCAATAGCACGTTTCGCGATTGCGTTGACGTGTATGGGCCAAGATCGGCATGGTTTCGTGCCGGAGAGGAGAAGCTTGGCATCGTCCGACGTTGTGAGTTTTGAAACTTGGAGAGACGTAAAAGAAAGCTTTGTGGGGTATAGATGGCGTTCGCTATGGACCCACGCGTATAGCCGATGCAATCCATCCGTGACGATCACTGCGTTACGCGCTATTCCTGTTCGTTGTGTGACGACTTTAACCGTAGAGCGCAGGGGAAAGAATAGTCGGCCCTGAAGAACTTGCGACGTGGCCGAGTCATCACCACCGCCGCATCAACGACTCCATCAAACCCACTTGATCCATCGCGATGTATGCGGGGAAATACTCGTCTTTAGACAAGCTTTTTGCGCGTCTTAGCACCTAAAATTTCCGGTCAGTTTAGATCGCGCTAGCATCGCACATCCACAGCACACGCGTGCTCGTGAGCATCTTCAGCACGCCTCCGCGCATGCAGAGAGCCAAGCCATTTAAGGTATCAAGATTAGGCCAAGCTCTTCGAGCCTCTCCCCAATCGGGTATTGCCCTAACCTCAGATGTAGTAGCGAGGCGTTGAGAAGGCTTAGCGAGTTTCATGCTCCGCGCCGAGCATTCCTACACCTGCACCAATGTGCAGCATTCACACAATCTGACAGGAAATTGGCAACGTGCAAACGATCTGGCCATTCTACCATGACTTCAGGGTTCAAAGAAAGAAACTCAAGCGGAGGTGAGCGGGAAGAGCGCCGCGGGTGGCGTTCGCAGTGTTGCTTTATTACACATGCTTGCCCGACGCTGAGGCATATATCACCCACTTCGTAACCTCCTCGCACCACAAGATCCTAGAGATCGCCCATACACACATACACAAACGCATACGCGTCGCTCAGCTCATTTTCCGGACACCATGTCTTCCGACACTCACAGTACGTCTCAGGCAACCCAAAGCCGTGGTTCTCTTGTCTGACAGTCCGATTAGCTTCACCTAATGGCCCAGCACAAGACCAAGCTGCCGGGCAAACAAGCGCTCCAGTGATCGCCGGCCCTACAGCATCGTCAAACCAGGCCAACGTCGGCGCCGAGCATAGGTCAGATGTCATTGAGCGCCTGCCATCTGTAGACAATGCATCGTCGCGGGAAGCCAAGGACGATGTCACTATCGTCGTCAACAGCGACCCACTCGATCTTGGTAAACACCGTCGAGACGATGTCACCCAAAAACAGATGAAGGCAGACCATCCGCTCGCCAAGCCCAGACACATGAAGAAATTTTACACAAGACAGAATGCCTTGATCGACCAGTTCCTCCAGAGCGGCGACGAGGAGCGGTTAGCTGCTCTTGACCAGCTCGAGAATGGACCAAAGGTCCGGTTTGCAGTCAACGCTTCCTTCATCGTCAACTTCTGTTTGTTCGTCATCCAGTTGTATGCCGCCGTCTCGACAGGATCGCTGTCGCTGTTTGCGACAGCTGCGGACGCTTTCATGGACCTGGTCTCTTCGGTAGTCATGCTCATCACATCTCGCATGGCGGCACGGCCAAGCGTGTACAAGTACCCCGTGGGGAGGACCCGCATTGAGACGATTGGCATCATCATGTTCTGTTGTTTGATGACAACGGTTGCTATCCAACTAATCGTAAGTGCTTGTCTTGGGTAGATGAGGAGGCGGCTAACACGTAACAAGATCGAATCTGGGCGTGCCTTGGCTGGCGGTGCCACTGAATCAGAGGAACTCCACATCATCCCCATTGCCTTTGTCGCGACAGCCATCTTCTGCAAAGGCTCACTTTGCATCTATTGCTTCCTCTTCCGACGCTACCCAGCCGTCCATGTCTTCTTTATCGACCATCGCAACGACATCATCGTCAATGCTTTCGGTCTTGCCATGTCCATTGTCGGTAGCCGAGTCGTCTGGTATGTCGATCCTATCGGTGCCATTCTCATCGGTCTCTTGATTCTCGTTTCCTGGGCTGCCAACGCCTTCGACCACGTTTGGTTGCTCGTTGGAAAATCGGCACCAAAGGACTACATCAGCAAGTTGATCTATCTCGTCGTCACACACGACAGCAGAATCCAAAAGGTCGATACCTGCCGCGCATACCACGCTGGGCAAAACTACTACGTCGAGGTAGACATTGTCATGGATGAAGGCCTACCGCTAAAGGTCACCCATGACGTCTCGCAGACCCTGCAGAGGAAGCTCGAAGGCCTCGCCGATGTTGAGCGAGCCTACGTACACGTCGACTACGAAAGCGAGCACGATATCTTCGAGGAGCATAAACCACTCTACGAAGTCACGCAGTCGAAGACGATCAAGGAGCGTGTTCAGGCTATGCGCTACTTGTTCAAGAAGTCGGAGAAGGGTGCGTGAGCATCGGACGATGCGTGTTTTGTATATTACGGTGCTACGATCACCAAAAGTTCACGTTTTCTTTAGAGTCATTTATACCCCCGTGCAGCAATACACAAGACTGCAGAAACTACTGTTAATGCGAATGTTATTACCATCAGGCCGAGATGTCTTAGTTCCGGGCTAAAAGTCTCTTCTTGCGTGTTTTTGCGATCCTTGTGTCTCACCATGAACTGTTCTTTGTCTCTGTGCCTCTGATACACTGCTAGGAAAAATGGCGCACTAATCAATCACAATATTCTTTGTCTCTGCATCATGGGATATCCTTTTAGTCGTGATTCCACCATCACCGTTCGTAATGCGTCTTATCAATTACATCACGTTATCCTCCATACACCTCTCCAAACGTCTATCCACCGAAGCCGTAGGCATTACTACCTCGCCATGTTTCAAGCTTATACAGCACTGCCTATGCCCGTTTTCCAACTCGCCCTCAACAAATCTTCTACTATCGCTTATCCCCCATCGTCACGATCATCATCACCAACGACAATCCGATCTGACCATTCTGATATATCCATGCCACAATCTCTTATTCAGGAAGGGAAGTACGGGGATCCTCCGCGAATTGTACGTGAACTAGCTGCTTGGTTCGATGGAAAGACAAAGGGAAGGTTAAAGCTAGAGGTTTTGACATGGGATGGGAAGATTGCAAAAGTATCCATGAATGAGTCGGGTGACACTTGGTAGATTGATCATTTGCGGCACGATAGTTTTAAAGGGAAGATTAGGGTACTGTAACAAGATCTCGCAAGTCACTGTCATTTTCATATGCTCTACACGTTCTAGCCGTGGCCAGGGCTTGTGCACTATACCACCAATGTTGCTGCTCGAGATCGGGGTCCGGAAGCTCCATTTCTTTCAGTTCTCGCCCACCGAAATCTTATCACCAAGTACTGGCGTCGGTAGTCGTCCGACCCAGGACCAACGGGGTCACGTCGTCGTATTTTCCACTACAATAATCGCATTCTACAGGTTTTCTTTTTAGTCGGTCTGCCAATTCCATCGATGAAACTCACTTTTCACTGCGAACTCGTACCACAATGGGCCATCCTCCCCTTTCATCTGTGAAGGGACACAGCTTTCTCTGTCCCTCCTCTCTTGACCGTACCTCTTGAGATGAAAGTCATCCCAAGACATCATGAACCATTTGTCATTGGTCGCGAGCATACCGCATGGATGGTCGGTTTCGCCAACGGGCCATTCTTTTTTCTATGTAAATTATTTAGTTTGTTTCTCACTTGAGTTCGATTTGCATTCAGACCAGAAGCTTACCAGATTATGATACTTGAGCCAGTAATCAGTCTCGTCTTTCACTACGAGCAACATAGCATGCATCTTCTGGACTCCTAAGAGACGAACTAAGTGTCCGTCTCTCTCCTCGTCAGATAGCGGTCGGGTCTGGCAGTTCATCCTTCCGCCATTCTCGACCTGTTGCTCGATCCACACCTTGTTCTGCCGCACGATGTCTTCTACAGCGGGGTGGCGCCGTATGTGAATCTCAGGGCTATCTGTAAAAAAGGCATCCTTTTGAAAGATGTATTTTTTCATATTGAACGGTTGCAGGGAGATGCTCTTAGAAAGTAGGTAGGGAAAAGCAGAAGAAGATGAACAGTGACACCACACAGCGCGACGCGTCTTATCTATCTACGCGTCTGCAAGTCAGCGCGAAGTCACGGGACCAACAAGAGGCATCGAACTCCGTCGAAATCTGTGGAAGCCATTTCCTCGTGACCAGTAAAATGAGAAGAAGATTCCAGGATCGTAAACTACCTGAGCCAATCAGCTGTAACGCCGGTTAAATCCATCTATCGGACATAAGCATGTGGTACGATAGCAAATACTTGGCTTGCAGATGAACCATGACCTAACACGGAGATAAGAGGAACTACAAGTTCAAGTTTGTGACAACAAGAACCTAGAGTCAATGGAGTAGTAGTGTATCAGTGGTGCTGACAAACCGAGTTCGTTGAACGACAATAAGCGCATATCACGAAGCCTGGCTCTAGTAATGGTAGTGTTGTGATTTTGTTCCCCGTAAGGTATGTTTTCTTACATGCTTTCTCAGGGCCAAAGCGTCCCGTCCACCTCGACATCGGCAACCAAAGGGCATACATACACAGTCTCGTTCACTAGGTAGCCACGGCTGCCATCTCCCTCGATTCTTCTTAACGGATGACTTGAATTGATCCTGCCTTCTCCCTCTCAAATTTCCGAGTGGCTGGACTGGTTTGATGAGGTAATTGTTCAAGCTCTTTTACGTCGGGATTGAAAGTGAGATCCCTAGCCATCTCTTTTCTCAGGTGCGATGGCGGCAATCCAAGATCCCGTGTGATTTGGAACGAAGGTGAGTGTCTCCAAACCATCCTGTGCTGTTACAGCATGTCGCAAAGTATACATGCTCCTTGCCTGGATGGACATAGACCTCTGGAGCGTCAATACCCAACGTATACCATGCACCTCCGTCAATTTTGGCAGCCTCGTAGCGAGCTTCGCGGTTGACAGCGAAGAGAGTGGGGTAGCCACGTGTTGACATGATACTCAACTTTTTCTCCCCATCCTTTCCTTCATGCTCATGAATGGTTAGCGTATTGCCGTAACCAGCATCAATAGAACAACAATCTGGTACTTGCTCTTTCTCATCCTCTAGTGCGATAGCCCATATTTTGGCGCGGAGCTCGGCGGGTATTCGGCTGAAAGGATGGAATACGGTCTGCTGCGTGGTTTGGGCCTTGCTGGTTTCTTGGACTTGAGCAGACCCTTTAGTCTTTGCGGCTCCCTCAACTTTTCCAGCTGCTTCGGCCATGACGGATGCATGTATATTCTCGGAGTTGCGAGCGAACCGCTCACGGTGGATAGGAGGCCAATGAATCGCACCGGAGATAGACAAGGAAATCGTTAGGGGCAACATGTTTGCTATGTTGTTGGACACGATATCGGCGAGTGGGTGTTGACAGAAAGGCCTGTAGAGAGACTGGTCCGTCCGCTTCCGAAGTGTCTGCTCGCTCTCTTGTCGCGACGATGGTGTAGATGAGAAGTTGGTAAAGATCGGAAGAACACGATTTTGACTGCTTAGCGAGACCGCCTCTCACCCAAAGTGAGGGTGAGAGCGTTTGCTGTTCAACGCAATGCCAAGCCTAACCTGGTCGTCCCTTCCCTCCCAGTCAACTTGTTGTATTCCGAGCCATAGCAGTAGAAAATACTACATCATAATTATTGAAACAGATAGGACTCATCGAGGAATTTGGATTTTAGATAGCTGCCTGGACTATCGTTTCTGTCGTTTAGATCTTTTGCTACGACACTTGGTCACTAGTAAAGGAAGAAAAGACGGTTTAGGTAAAGAGGCTATGGCGTGAGCGTTATCTCAACTTAACAGACCTTGGACCCTAGTTCCGAATATGCAATGTCTTGCTTGTTTCTGTGAAGACTGTGCATCGGATGCGTACAGGGCGAAGAAAAGGTCCGTTCAGCTACCTCTTTCGCTCGTCATAGGGGATTGCGTATGAGTCCTGCTTCCAAGTCGACACTGACAATGAAATCATCGAACTAGTTCTACATGCAAGACTCCATCGTAAGGAGGTAAAAAACGATATGCACAGTTCATCTCAAACCATGAACAAACGTTGATGTTCCTCTCCCCGAACCGTCAAAAAACCAACCGCTGACGCCGCACCCGCAAAATCCCGCCTCACCTGATTCGCCCAACTTCCCAACTCCGCCAAGCCCAGCGATCCCGCGCTTTCTCTGCCGCCATCAACCTCACCTACCAAACCCACATCCACACCCACGCGCGACCGTACACCCCAACCCGACCGCCAAAGATGTCTGTCTCATCCTTCGGCCACCATGGCAAGACGCCCGCTGCCGTCGTAAGTGTTTACCCTCCCGCGCGCGCGCAATTGGAGCGAGAAGAGGAACAAGGGAAAAAGGACGCTGGAAAGGCCGATGACGAAATGAAGGGAACAAAGGAAAATGGAAGCTAATCAATTTGGTCACAGAGCATGCGCAGCCCGTACAAGGCTTACAGAAGTCCTTTCGGCCCTCAGTAAGTTGGTTTTCTTCCATGTTACAACACACGGCAATGGCGTGGGAGACGGGTGGTGGGCAGACTGCGGACGACAAGGTTGGAGGAATGTTGTCATTGGTACAAGGGAGAGCTGTGGAAAGAAGAGGAGGATATACAGCGATGGTCTCGCACGAGCAATGGCATCAGCATTCAATGCTCTACACCGAAACCCATACGCCAAAGAAGGAGGAAGACGTCAACCCACCCAACAACCCGCGCCGGGGGGGGG